GATAGCCTCCAAAATTGAGGCTATGAAAACATTAGTTAGTGAAATCAAGGCTAGACATGAAAGATATGGCTTCAATTCCAGTGAACAAGGACAAAGCAGTAGAGAAATGACTGTTCCATGGCATGACCCTAGAGTGGCTTCCCTTTTCATTGAGGAAGCACAAGTTGTGGGTGTTGAATCTGCCAGAGATGAGCTGATCAATTGGTTGGTAGAAGGAGCATCAAAACATGAATGCCGTGTAGTGATTTCGGTGCTTGGTATGGGAGGACTTGGTAAGACCACTCTTGCCAAGAAAGTTTATGACAGCCAGATTGTGATGGCACACTTTGATTGCTATGCTTGGATTACAATTTCTCAGTCATACAAGATAGAGAATGTTCTAAGGATGATGATCCGGCAGTTCTGCAAGTCAAGGAAGGAGAACACCCCTGAGGGGATTGACAAAATGGATCAAGAGTCCCTAATTAGCAAATCAAGAGAATATTTGCAGCAAAAGAGGTATGTGGTAGTGTTTGATGATGTGTGGAAAGTAGATTTCTGGGGGGCTATAGAACATGCTTTACCGGATAATGAAGGGGGAAGAATCATGATCACTACTAGGATTAGAGATGTTGCTGATTTTTGCAAAAAGTCTTGTTTAGTTCAAGTTCATCACTTGCAGCCTCTGCCTCCAAACAAGGCATGGGAATTATTTTGTAGAAAGGCATTTCAGTTTGAATTGGAGGGCAATTGTCCTCCAGAGTTGGAAGAGTTGTCTCTTAACATTGTTAAAAAATGTGAAGGTCTGCCTTTGGCAATTGTTTCCATTGGTGGTCTTCTGTCAACCAAGGTTAAAGGTCTGTCTGAATGGCAAAAACTATATAATAGCATGAGTTCAGAGTTAGAAAGCAATCCACATCTTACAAGCCTCATGAGAATCCTATCCCTTAGCTATCATCATCTACCATATTACCTCAAATCCTGTGTCTTATACTTTGGCATATTTCCTGAGGATTATTCTATTAGTTGCATAAGATTAATTCGGTTGTGGATAGCTGAAGGCTTTGTAAAACTGAAGAAGGGCAAGACATTGGAAGAGGTTGGAGAGGAATACTTGACTGAGCTAATTCATAGAAGCCTGGTTCAAGTATCAAAAGTTTACGTTGATGGAAAAGCTAGAAGTTGTCGAGTTCATGATCTTTTGCGCGAAGTCCTTCTTAAAAATGGCATGGATTCGAGTTTCTGTCATGTTTTATCAGAAGATGTGTCATCTTCTAAGCAAATAACTCGACGTCTCTCGATAGACAGCAGTAGCACTCCCAGCTTTGAACACTCTCATATTCGTTCTGTATTTACTTTCAACCAAGAAGAATGGCCTGAGTCTTTTCTCAATACATTGAATGGAAACTTTAAACTTTTGAAAGTATTGGATTTCACGGATGCTCCACTAAACCATCTTCCTAAATACGTTGGGGATTTGTATCTCTTGAAGTACTTGAGCCTAAGGAATACAAAGGTGAAGTTTCTTCCGGAGTCCATAGGTAATCTGCAAAACCTAGAAACCTTGGATCTAAAACAGTCTCTGGTGTATGAAATACCAGCCAAGATCAATAAGCTTGTTAAGTTGAGACATCTTTTGGCCTACTATTGTGACTACAACATAGAGTTTAGCATGACATTCGAGCGGGGAGTGAAGATACATGACGGTATTGGATGTTTACGTGCATTGCAAAAGCTATATCATGTGGAGGCAAATCATGGAGGGATCAACCTAATCAAATCATTGGGAAAGTTAAGGCAGCTGAGGAAGTTGGGCCTAAAAAACTTGAAACGTGAAGATGGAAGGGCTCTATGTGCTTCTGTTGAAAACATGAACCACCTTGAATCTCTAGAAGTAAGTACAATAAGTGAAGATGAGGTCCTTGATCTACAATCCATTTCAACTCCACCCCAATTTATCCGGCTTCTCTACTTGAAAGGGCATCTAGAGAAGTTGCCAAGCTGGATTTCGCAGCTTCAGCACCTCGTCAAGCTACGGATTTTTTGGTCAAGGCTGAGAGATTCCCCACTGAAAGCCCTTCAAAATCTACCTAATCTGTTGGAGCTTGGGATCTCATACAAGGCATATGATGGTGCTCAGCTGCATTTTGAAGGAGGATTCCAGAAACTCAAGGTCCTACAACTCAGGGACTTGGAGGGACTAAAATCTTTGATTATAGACAATGGGGTTATGCCTCTTCTCAAAGAGCTGCATATAGGGCCTTCCCCACAACTTAAGGAGGTGCCCTCCAGCATCCACCATCTGAGAAATCTAACAACTCTTAGATTTATCAACATGCCAAAAGAATTCCAAAGGGATGTGGATCCAAAAAATGGCCAACATTTTTGGATTGTTGAGCACGTAAGAGATGTTATCTTTAGCTACAAGTTTGGGACAAAATTTGGCATATATGAGAATTTCTTCATAATCCCAAATTGTTGACTACAGGCTCGCTGTTCTTCTTCATTATTGTTAATTGTTGTTAATTATTATTGTTAATAATAATTGTTCTTCTTTATGATTAAGTATATGAGAATTAATCAAAATGTTGATATGTTTAAGCAAGAACAACTATCAACAAAGAAAAGAAAAGGACAGTGTTTGGCTCTTCATGCAGCTGCCATCATCAATTCAATTAATTGGGAAAAGTAATAAGACTTGCCACCACAACAGTTAAATATTATAAAATCTTACCATTTTTCATCACAGAAGAGCCAAGCATTGTTCTTGTTTGTTGGACTGTCGGACAAGACCTCTTTTGAACCATACCACTTCAAGCTGTCTAACAGTGCGGCCAAAATCCAATCTCCTCAAGTTACTGTCTTCGATTTTTTTTATAATGAGAAAGTAAATATGAATTTATTAAATTTTAAAAAAAAAAAAATTAGGAACTTTGAGACTATTTTTTTCTCTTTATCAATCCAGTTGGCTAAACTCTCCCCTTCCCCCCTCAAGTGCACCCAAGTTTAATTCACGTAGAAGACAATTTTGAAATAACCCAATATAATACTCCTCCCCCTCCCTCTCACTAATGAATGACGGAAAAAAAATATAATACTATCAAAATTCAAGATATTTGTTTTGGTACAGAAAAATTCAAAATATTTATCTGTTGAAATAAAAGGACAGTTACTATAAAATTAAACAAAAAAAGGAAATACATTGAAATTGGCTTACCTGTTAGTAGGAGGCACGAAGGTTGAGGTGGGGGTCC